ATGGGGGTACATGGTGGGGAGCCAACTAGCGTGGCAGTTGGTCATGCATAGTCTAGGGAAAGTGTTTTCTTCACCCTTGTGTGTAGAGTGCAAAAGGTCCTTCAATTTCCTTTACAGAATTTGTTTCCATTTTCCCCTGATTGACTAGCTTTCTATTGACTGAAAAGTCATTTTCTTTGCCTAGTCTACTGAGAAGTAAAATAAAATGTTTTCCCAGAGAATCTAACATCTTTTTTTTCTTCCTTCACAGCATTAAAGGGGGGTGGGGTGGAGTTTGCAGCCTATTATAACAAGGTAAAAATGATATTGTTGTTCTGTTGCACTTCTCTCCATTCCTACTCACCCTCTTGGCCTTCCCTACATGTCAAAAGGGAGCAAATGATGCATTAAAAGCTTGAAAGCTGAAATAAAGATTAGGTGTAAAGTGCTATTGATCCCTTTATGTAAGGAAACCAAGACATATTCCACTTGACTGTCAGGTTCCATTTTCAGCAAGTTACCCAGATGGAAGGCTGGAAACTTCTACAAAAAATCTTTAAAGTGTGGTTGAAAGTATCAGATAGGATTAGGAAAGCTAGCAGAAACAGTAGTTAAAATGGCACTGGCCTGGCTGAATGGGACTCCCTTGCCTGAGCAAATTTAATACTCAAGGTGCTCATACAATGAACTGTTTAAGTCACTAGACTGATGCTTAATACACAGGGCCCGTGAAGCCACTTTTTCAAAATTTGCTCCTGGGCAGTGAACAGATTCTAGATCAAGTCTGAATCTGGGATGTACCATGGGAGGCAGAAACAAGTTGATTCTCAGCTTGATCACTAAGTATGTTATGTATTAAAGTGGTTGGAAGTTTCTCCACCTTGGGATTCTTTGGTATAGAAGACCAAAAATCAAATGGAGTATCGGCGAGAGTCTCTGGTATACATATATTCTTAGGGTTAATCATCACATTTTTCCAAAAGGAAGGAAGGAAGGAAGGAAGGAAGGAAGGAAGGAAGGAAGATAGTTTTGAAAAA